TTTTAATCTGTTGTATTTCATTTCATCATCATATTTCTTTTGTCTATGACTAATTATTTTATTGTTTTAATCTATTTTATCTGCATAGTTTTGGTCTGCTGTGTGCTTGTAGAGTGTGGTGAAACTGTGCACCACTGTGGTGCACTGCTGCTGCAGCACTAGTCGCCCCTTGGGGAGATTTGAACAGACGTACTCAGGCTGCAGATGGTGTCCTTTAATCATCAGTGTTGCAGCAGAAGTGTCTCTGCTGTAGCTGAACTTGTTCTTTAACGGCGTTAACCAACAGCTAACGTTACTATAGACAAGCTAGCTAGCTATGTATTCGCTACGTAACGTTTATGTCGCTTGTCAGATTATTTTTACCTTAATTTACATCACTGGATATGTTGTCACCGAAAAGATATATTGGATTCTTTTAAAGGATTTATTGTGAACATTCCCACACAGTAAATAGAATTTAAGGCTAAATACAAACCTGCTTTTAGCTACACACTTGTTTTGAAAAATGGCTCGCCGCCATCTTTGGTCCGACGGAATTTTCGACCCCTCTTCACTCTGCGACCGGAACAAAGGTTCCGCCTCCATTCGCAGTTGATATTTCTGCCATCTGGTGGGAGACTTTTGACCACAGAGAGAAATACCTGAAAATTAAAGGATATTAAACATACACCTGTATATGTAAGAATGAGAACATTAACAAAATGACATTAATTTATTTGTGTTATCTAATTTGGAATATTCCTCATTCATATGGTCTGCTGCTGGAATAAAGACTTAACAGACTTAATGCAGTGCAGAAAAAGGCAAATGATCATGATGTGTCTTGAATGAAGTAATTAATGAATGCCCTTTATTGTCATTATACAGTGTACAATGAGATTGGAGAGTATATATATATGTGTGTGTGTGTGTGTGTGTGTGTGTGTGTATGTAGCTAGTTATAAGTTATATATATGTTCTGCCCCTCATTCAGAAATAGTGCATCTGTTCTAATGTAAGTTTGTCCCAGTAAACATGGGTTCTATTCTTCCTTTCTGCCAATAGGGGTCGCTCTCACCATTACTGTGGTGTTATTTGTGTTTTTGGTTGTACAGGTGACAGTGTATAGAAACAGTGTCTCCTCGTGGCCAACCGTCGTAAGCAGCAGCTAAATGACTCCAACGGCTGCATTGAATTCAGCACAGGACGTGTAAACCTTGTTCATTTGGGAGCCTTGGCAAATCATAATCTTTTCACAAAAAAAGGAAATATGGTCTTCAGTAAAAAACAAAAGACGACAACAACGTGTTTTTTTTTTTTTTGCTGGAGCCATTTAGATGTTTAGCTCGCTGTCTCGGTTACGTACTTGCACTAACTGAGGACAGAAGAATATTCTTCTGTCCCCCATTAGTAACCTACATCATTTCATTTTGATTTACTATTTATTTCATTTATAGTTCACTGTTATAGATTTACACATTATCAATCTGTGGAGAAAATTCCTAATATTAAGTAGCATTTCGGTCTATTTCCCTTCAGGTAGTTCCTTCAAATTTCTGTTTGTCTTATGATTTGCTGGTGAATACAAGCAAAAATATTTTCAAAGTAAGAGCATCTTTTTTGAAGGACAGGTGAGTCACGTGGCAGCAGAGAGGAGTCACCTGCAGGAATTAACTAACTTAAATCTGGATGACTTCCTCTCATCATCCATCCATCCATCATCGATACACCGCTTAATCCTCACTAGGGTCGCGGGGGGGCTGGAGCCTATCCCAAGGCAGGGGACACCCTGGACAGGTCGCCAGTCTTTCACAGGGCTACACTTAGAGACAGACAACCAAGCACACTCACATTCACACCTACGGACAATTTA